GAGACGAGCTTCACTCAGCAAGCTCACGTCTCCTTTCTTTCAGATCTTTTAGGATACTTTTTAAGATCATAGAAAGCATAAAAATGTATCTTCTTCAAAAGATTCTCATTCACTTAGAACAGCAGTTCTCAACCTGTGGGTCGCGACCCCTTTGGCGGTTGAACGACCCTTTCCCAGGGGTCACCTACAACCATCCTGCATATCAGATATTTACATGATGATTCATAACAGTAGCAACATTACAGTTACGAAGTAGCAACGAAAATCATTTTATGGTTGGGTCACAACATGAGGAACTGTATTTAAAGGGCCAGAAGGTTGAGAACCACTGACTTAGAATATTTTCCCAGTGACCATGTGCCTGGTATTACGTGTGAGTGAAGAAGAGTGAGGCGTCAGAAGAAAGCCAACCCGCTCCACACAGATAATCTGGAGGGAATCCCAGGAAAAGCTCGAGATAAGTGTGGGCTTTAGGCTCATTAAGCAAACTTTAAAACTGCGGATCCTCCACGGACAGCAAGAGTCTCGGGGAAGGAAGACAGGCTTTTGGAAAGATAAGAAACGCCGAGGTCATTGTGAGAAAGAGGGGCTGGAGAGGAAGTGATAATGATGCTATTAATGGCTTTTATTATCCTTACCATCACCCTGTTCACAGCGGGAGCCGGATGAAACCCAAAATAGTTAGTCACTTGCGGGGGAGGGTAAAATCCGACTTAGAGACGCTGACAGGGAGAAGTAGCCACACGTCCATGACTTTTCAGAAACCCCGTTCTTTTAATTCCCCGAAGCTTTCCAGTTCCTAATGGTCACTTTAGGGGAAAAGTGGTGTTGGGGTTACTGAGTTATCATTTCCTTCCTCACTCGGGGAGGAATGCGGAGGGAGCTTCCTTCTCACGCTCCGTAGGCGCAGCCTGAGTGCCCGGGGCCGGGGAGGCCTGGTCAGTGTCCCTCGGAGCCTGCCCACGCGGGTCAGCGGCTTTCACGCCGCTGTGGTCGGCGTTCAGCTGCACATGCTGCCGGGCAGCGCCCAGTCTCCGGACCCTCCCTTGCACCTGCACCCCTGGCCCCAGAACGAAGGCTCGGGCTCAGCCACCTGGGCTGGATGCCATGTAAGTTCAAGTCCATAGGACAAGAGAGAAAACGTGACGGCTTCTAGAAGCCTCCGCGAGAGCAGCTGCTGCATTTCTCTGCCATCCTGC